CAGGGAACAAGGGACAGGAGGAGAGGGAACGGCCTCAGGCTGTGCCAGGGGAGGTTCAGGTTGGCTACTGGGAAAATTTCTCCATGGAAAGGGTTGTCCAGCCCTGGCACAGCTGCCCAGGGCACAGTTGGAGTCCCCACCCCTGGAGGGGTTTCAAAGCCCTGTGGATGTGGCACCTGGGGACATGGGTTAGTGCCCACCAAGCCACGCTCTGCCCCTCCTGTCCCTGCTCGGCACACAGGGATAAATATCCTCCTGGCACAGCCCTCCGTGTCTTCTGATGGGATATTTTTGTATTAAATACTTGGCAGCATCTCCAGCTGGATCAGGGCCTGACACACTCCCCAGCCCTGGGGTGCCCAGGTCCATCTCAGCCTGTCCCCCTCACAGCCAGAGCTTTTTGGGGGGCAGAAAGGGGGGAACAGAGGCAGCCCCCCTGCCCTGCTTTGCTTACACTGTCTTACCTTCAGTGCTGCAGAGGAAGAGATGGATTTTCCACTCCAGGCTGACATGTTCAGCCAGAGCAAACACAGAGCTGCGGCCTCAGGGGGAATCACAGAATCATCGTGGAATGGTTTGGGTTGGAAGGGACCCTAAAGCTCATCCTGTTCCACCCCCTGCCATGGGCAGGGACACCTTCCACCATCCCAGGTTGTTCCAAGCCCCATCCAACCTGGCCTTGGACACTTCCAGGGATGGGGCAGCCACAGCTTCTCTGTGTCCAGGGCCAAAGGAGCTGCTGCTGGAGCTGGACCGAGGGGACAGAGGGTGAAGCAGCCCCTCCAGCCCCAGGGCAGTGCAGGGCTGGGTCCCCCCGAGAGCAGCTGCAATGAAACCCCCAAATTGTGCCTCTGAAGTGACACAGGTGGCAGAAGAGAAGCAGAAACCTCAGGGTGGCCAGAGCCACACAGACCCCACACCCTCGGTGCAAAACACCCTAAAAAAACAGCCTCGTGTTTGCAAAACACCCTAAAAATAGCCCCGGGAAGGGGACAAGGACAAGGAGCAGTGACCAGGGACATCTGAAACTGGGATGTGCTCCCTGCCTGCGGGGGCTGCTGTGGCTGTGCTGGCCGTGGGGCTCTGACATGTTCCCTTTGTTGGCAGGAGCTCAGGACAGAGCTGGAGGAGGCTGTTGCCAGGCAAACCCGGAGTTGTTTGTGCAGCAATTCCCATTTGCTGGACTTTGCCATGTCAGGCTGTCAGGCAGTGCCAGAGCGGTACCAGTGCTGTGTCTGGGGCTGCCCGTGCTTGTGGGGGTGGGTTTTTTTCCCCTTTCTTTCAATTTTTTTTTTCTTTATTGCTCTTATTTTTTTTTTCTTTTCACCTTTTTTTTCAAAGCCACGTTGCAGCAACCTGGGCTAGTGGGAGGTGTCCCTGCCCATGGCAGGGGGGTGGGACGACACGAGCTTTAAGATCCCTTCCAACCCAAACCATTATGGGATTCTACAGCTCTTTCATTGAGCTTGGTGTTTATCCAAAGGGACGGGAGCTGGGCTGGGACCTTGTAGAGACTGGGAGGGGAAAACTGCTCAATTCCTGGGGCTCCTCTGCTTGAGGTTAATCAAAGTGTTCCATGGCAGGAAGCACTGGAGTGGCTAGAGGGAGAACATGGTTCTGTGTGCAGAGGGGGGATTTTTGGGGTTGTCCTGTGCAGAGCAAGGAGTTGAACTTCATGACCCTAGTGGGTCCCTTCCAATTCAGGGTATTCTGTGATTCTGTGGCAGGGCAGCTCAGCGATTTTGGACATAGAATCTTCCTGGGAAGGTGTGCAGGGCCCTCATGTGCCATTTCACAGAATCCCAGAGTGGTTTGGGTTGGAAGGGACCTTAAAGCCCATCTCATTCCGCCCCCATGGGCAGGGACAACTTCCACTAGCCCAGGTTGCTCCAAGCCCCATCCAGCCTGGCCTTGGACACTTCCAGGGATCCAGGAGCAGCCACAGCTTCTCTGGGCAACCTGTGCCAGGGCCTCCCCACCCTCACAATCTAACTCTGTCCTCTGGCAGTAGGAAGCCATTGCCTGTGTCCTGACCCTCCATCCCTTGTCCCCAGTCCCTCTCCAGCTCTCCTGGAGCACCTATAGGCACTGGAAGGGGCTCTCAGGTCTCCCTGGGGCCTTCTATTCTGCAGGTGAACCCCCCCAGCTCTCCCAGCCTGGCTCCAGAGCAGAGGGGCTCCAGCCCTGGAGCACCTCCATGGCCTCCTCTGGAATTGTTCCAGCAGCTCCAGGTCAATCTGATGCTGGTCCACGGGGCCGGAGGCAGCTCTGCCGATGAGAGCTCCGCTCTCACTGGGGGGAGCAGAGGGGGTTTCCACCAGTTTTCTTTTCCCTTTGCCCGCGGGAGACAATTCCAACACTCCCAAGTGTCCCGAGGGCGGGGGGAGCTCCCGCTGGCGGCTGCGGGTTGACCTGATGCCTGTGCCTTGGCCCCGCCCCTACGCTTCCATTGGCCCGGCGGGTGCTTGGTGGTCACGCCCCCGCGTTTCCATTGGTGGAGACCGCCCGGGGGGCGTGTCCCCACCCGCCCTATGTAACCGGGGCGGGCGCGGGGTCCGGGGGTCGCTGCGCAGCCCGGGGGTGTCCGGGGGGCTTTTGGGGGGGTTTTGGGGGTTTCCGGGGGTCTCCCCACCGCCCACCCCCCGCCGCGATGCTCGTGGCCGGCTCGCCGTGTCCCCTGGAGGAGCACCGGCGCTGCGGGACCCGGCGGGGCGGGCAGGTAAGGAAGAGCTGCCGGGGGGATACACGGGGGGGGGCAGCGCGCCCGGGAGGGGCTGGGGGTGTCCCCCTGAGCATCGCTGCTGTCCCCCCCCCGCCCGGGGACACCTCCCACCCCCGGCCGGCTGCAGGGAGGGGACAAGTCGGGACACGTCGAGAGACCGTCCGGGCTGCGGGAGGGTGGACACGGTGGGGGAGTGGGGGGTGGGGGGTGCTGGGAGCATCTCCAGAGTCCTGGAGGGGCACTGGAGGGCTGGGCAGGGAAGTTTTGGTATTGCCGATCCCTCCGGGAGCTGGGAGGTGTGTGGGAGCAGGGCAGAACCGGGGACAAAGGGAAACTGAGGCGGGGGGTGATGGGATGTGCCCGCCGGTGTGAGTGGTGGGGGGCTGGCAGGAGGGTGGGGGCCCTCTGGGAGTTCTGTCCTGTTGTTTGGCTCGTGCTGCTGTTCCCAGGCCGGTTATGGGATCTCCGATGACCCGTTAACCCAAATATTCTGGAAGTGTCTGGCATCGCTTTTGCATTTGGAGTCCAGTGTGGAAAACTGGGGTGTCTGTGGAGCTTTGCATGACCTCCCTGACCCTCTCAGGCAACCAGAGCGGTCTGCAGTGTCAGTCCAACATCCTGAGTGTCCTGAAAAGTTGGGAATTGCCTCTATTTGCAAGACTTATTTTCCCCTCTCCAAAAAAAAAAAAAATCGCATTTTTTCCCTGTTGCTCCTGCATTCCCCCTTCCCTCAGGTTTCCCCGGGGACAGCGGGATTGCTCTGCAGCTGGGGGGAGAGTTGGTGGTCCCCCAGCCATGTCACTGCAGGATGGTTCCTCCTGACACGGGCTGGAGGCTGGGAGTGCCAGGACAGTGGGTGGGAGAAACCCCTGGGAACAAACAGCAGGGGGGTCACTCCAGCACTTGTCCTGACATGAGCCAAAGCCTGAAATTTGGAGCAGGCAGGGGTGAGCCTGGGGGTGTCGGGGATGCCCCAGACCTTGGCCAGCAGTGTCTGGCAGGCACCACCGAAATTCCCTGGATCTGGGGCTTCCCCACTGCCGGTGAAGGTGCCTCGGTTGTGTTCCTGTGATGGTG